GCAAATGAAATCGATCATACGCAATACATTGTTGTCTGGAACAATGTGTCTTTCCACCGTTCTGCTCTGGTTCAGAACTGGTTTTAGCAACATCCACATTTTACCGTCTTATATCTTCCACCATACTCTCCATTCCTCAACCCTATTGAAGAGTTTTTCTCAGCATGGTGGTGGAAAGTATATGATCTTTGTCTCCAAGCTGAGGTACCCCTCATTCAAGCCATGGAGGAGGCCTGTGACCAGATGGAGGTAGCAGCAATACAAGATTTTACATTCAAGACACTTCTTTCCAAGGTGTCTTGCTAAGGACAACATTGCAATTGATAATTCTCATGCCAGATCTATCTTACAGTTCAATACGTAAAGTGACATGTTACAGTACTTTGAATCTTCATGCCAACATGTTGAGGAATAAATGAGTTTCTTCAAGGTGCAACATTGTTCTTGAGTAGTGTTTGGTGAATTTACTTTATATTTGTACTTTGTTGATGGTAGCCTACTCTAATCATAGGGAAGTAGAAGTGCTAAAAGTGTTTTAGGTTTATCACAGCAGTGTGTAACTCGTGCAAACAGTGTATGGTAAATGTGAAAATGTGTGTTTCTTATGGTAAAAAAGTGTGGTTTTTAAACAGAAGTCTATAGTTTTTATAAGAGTGTTTAATTATGCAAAGGATCTGTAATGTTTTGCTAATTGGGTGTGTGGTTGTGCTAATTGTGTGTACTGTTTTGAAAACACGGGCCCTGTTTTTAAAATCGTGCTTAAGCAATCCAAAAAAACTGCAATTACCTCAATGCAACAGGCAAAGTTTTAGGATTTATACTCCAAGTAAACTAAGTTAAGCTCCTAAGTTAAGCTCTGACTAATTTAATCGCTTTGACTCTCTGAAATAGTATTTAAAAAAGAGACATTCACGACACAAACGTTAACGTTATATGATAAAAGCGATATGTAGGTAAAGAATCCATTCATGCTAACCAGTCAGAGATGTTTGTTTTAACTTCACCTACATTAAGTCCACTGCTCATTGTTGACAGTCTGGAGATTTGTTGGTAACATTTCCATCTGGAGCTCAAGCTCAGTTGATACAAACGACAATATTTAATAGTTAACCTTGACATGACTACAGAAAGGATGCAAGTGTCCAGCGGCTAGTCAGATTGCACGCGCGCGCGTTGTCAGTGCTCGTGCCATTTCAAAATAGAGGTCCTAACAAAATAAAAGCACATTTGTTATTGTTTTATTTCCTTTTCTTTTCTGTTTTTTTTACAATTTATTTCTTCCCCCGCCCCCCTCATTTTTTTACAGTGGACATTATTATTTGATAGATAGATAGATAGATAGATAGATAGATAGATAGATAGATAGATAGATAGATAGATAGATAGATAGATAGATAGATAGATAGATAGATAGATAGATAGATAGATAGATAGATAGATAGATAGTTTTTTTATTCTATCAATTTAAGAACAATAATCAATATATGTTTATATGATTTCAATATATGTTTTATGAATAACAGTTTGTTCTAGGAATTTATTTTATTCTCTATCCTGTGAGCATGTGTTTGTCAGTGTATCTTAAACTCTTCAGCAGGAAATTCACATCATTCTCAGCCAGTGACGGCGAGGCGTCTTGTGAACCCTAGGCAGCTCAATACGAGCCGTGAGAACCCTCAGGGAAACACGGGAGGCCGGTAGTGGGACTCCGCTGCGAGGGTTAGTTATGGTGGGTGGGAGCAGCGAGGCCCACTCGATCGTCTATTTTAAACTATAGTTTCAAACTTTAGTTTACTATAGTTTAAAATAGAAACCATGGTAACTGTAATGTAACTTTGTCTGGCTGTTGTAATGTTTTGCTTTGTTTTTCAGCAGAGTTGTTGAGCAAAGAAGGTCTGTTTTATCTGCACTGCGGTCCAGCACAACACGGTTAAGACCACATTGATTTATTATGAGCGCGCATATTAATTAGTTTTTTTTCTATCTGTAAGTTTATCTTTCAGACTGTTGTTTTCACATGATTTACAGGTCAAACAAAATAAAATATACTCTTTCTAAACTCCTGAATTGTGTTTTTATTTCTTTTCAAAATATCACCAGAGGGTGGCTTAACAAAATAGTTTTAACATGTCTTTTCTTTTCTTGGGTGACAGTGCATAATAAGTTTTTTTACTTGTTTTGCAAGATACTAGTATTCAGTGTAAAGTGCAATTCAAAGCCTATATACTTTCACTATCAATACGAAATACAAGTCGAGGCCAGCAGGTGGCGTCCCTCATTGACTCACTGGGCTGCAGTTGCAGGAATGAAGTGCAGGAGGCGGAGACTCGCTGCCGTGTGACTTCTGTCGCCTTCATTAACCATTCCACAAAGTAGAGAGGGACACTGAGTACACTTACCTCTAGTGTGCGAAACATTACAGCCTCTCGGAATATCAGAGTACACCCAAATCTCTCCCTCTCTCTCAGGAAGCAATACAGACCTGCATCCCAGAGGACAGGTAAGACGTATTTCAAATGATGTTTATTGCGACATAACCTGTCTGAAGCTGTCAGATGGACGTACACCTGTACCAACCAGGTCAGCGGTGTGTTCTTTCGCCCTTTTAAAGCAAAGACGTCATATTTGACATATTCATGCGTTTAATTGTATGGCAGATATGAGCTAAGCTATACTTTTTAAAGTGCACATGTAGAAAAAAGTCAACATAGCATATAGAGCACATTTACTTTACGGTCTATATTAGCCTATTATTATTTGTGTAATTTTCATTGTAAAAATATGCTAAAATTGTTTACCTTTTACTGTTTGAATGTGGTAAAAATTACGTAATATTGCAGACAAGAGGTTTCTTAACGAAAGTCTTGATATGTTGACACATCTCACAATCTAATCAGCTGTCAATAGACTACGCTTTTCTTGTGGAACATTTAATTAAACGTGAATGTTTGTATTAAAATGATGCTGTTTTTATGATTGTTCAGACGTTTTTGATTTGAAATTGTTTAAAGAGGGAAGTTGTCATATGGGAAGTTTTCACAACAGTATCAGTAACTATATTTACAATAAATTTCATCTGCCTTTAGTGAATTGTATCATTTTTTATCTGAGGTAAAGGGTGTAAATAGCTTTTACAAACTATTTTTTTATTTTTGTTAGTAGTTTTTGTTGTTGTCAGGATTTTAAAGTATGCGAATATACAGAAAATATCCCTTGATAAGTACTCATTTAAGTGACAACCATTATATACTGCTCAAAAATGCAGGGAACACTTAAACAACACATTGTAGCTTCAAGTGTTAACTGTATTTCATTGAGCAGTATTTTTATTGACTATGACCAGGGTTGTTTTAAATATGCTTTGAAGAAACTGCACAAGAAGAAACAAAAAGTATGTTGTTTTCTGACTTTATAGATTAAAAACATTCCATAAAGATATAATATATTGAATATTTGCAGAAAAGCAAAATATTTAGATAATAGTTTTATGGTTGATCTTGTATAAAATATAGAAATAGGGAGTGTATACAGAAAACAAGAGTTTGTAGAAAACAAGTTATCATTAGGCTATATGGAAAAAAGTATCATGTTTCTCTTGTAACTATACAGATTGGATAGATAGATAGATAGATAGATAGATAGATAGATAGATAGATAGATAGATAGATAGATAGATAGATAGATAGATAGATAGATAGATAGATATTTTTTCTTTACTCAATTTTTTTTCAACATTCATATATATTTGTTGGTTTTATTCCTTTTTATTAATTGGAAAATTGGAAAAGAATATATTTTTTGATGCACAGATTAGACAGACAGATGGAAGGGTAGACAGATTTGAATTTAATATAAGTATGTGCAAAAATGCGCTTAAACAGTCCGTCAATAATGAATATAAAGACTAGGCATTGGCCGGTATTAGATTGTGACGGTATGATAACCTTGCATAAAAATATCACAGTTTCACTGTATCCTTTTAAATGTCTGGGTAAGAAATATTTTTCCCCATTAAGCGCAGTATATTTTATTCTAAGATACATTTAAAATACTTTGGACAAGTAGTTTTTAATGTGGAGGGTCCTTTTCTGCTGGAGATACCGTTGCCCTAAAAACTTAAATAAAATAGTCACAAAAAAATGTAAAACTGTACATATATGTACGTAAGAATCGTATAACATAAAATTCTGCCGGTTTTAAAACTTTGACATTTTCAAATTGTGGTAAACCTTGAAATTGGTCATCGTCCCATGCCTATTAAAGACCAGTGTTGAGGAAAGTTACTTTAGAAAGTAATGTATTACAATATTGAGTTACTTCCCTAAAAAATAACTAGTTGCGTTACTTAGTTACTTATTATAGTAAGTAATGCCTTACATACTCTATAACCCACATTTACCTTTAAACACATCAATAAACTATCTAAATAACTAACTAACATCAAAAAATAATATTATAGGAGAATGTAATCTGAGTACTTCTTGACCCCAGAGCTCTACATGCCGTATCTTCAGATTGTTGAAAGTTTAAAATGTGTGTTTGCTACCTTTGTACTGTATGTCTTAAGCAAAATCACTGTCCATTGAGACAATCCAAACTCACTTATTCATGTGAGCATGAGATGAGACAATATCTTATACATATATATATATATACTCTCCATAGCATGTATGTTTTCTGTATGTATCAGCAGGGATTGTCTGGTAATATATAATAACTGTAGAATTTATCTTATATTTCTTATATAGGGCAGCATGGTGGCGCAGTGGGTACCCTCACAGCAAGAGGGTCGCTGCTTGAGTCCCAGCAGGGTTAGGGTTAGTTAGCGTTTCTGTGTGAAGTTTGTATGTTCTCCTCGTGTTTGCATGGGTTTCCTCCCTGTGCTCCGTTTTCCCCCACAAGTCCAAAGATATGCAGTAATGGTGAATTGGGTAAGCTAAATTGTCCCTACTGTATGTGTGTGAATGGAAGTATATGGGTGTTTCCCAGTAATGGGTTGCAGCTGGAAGGGCATCCGCTGCGTAAAACATATGCTGGATAAGTTGGCGGTTCATTTTGCTGCGACCTCAGATTAATAAAGGGACTAAGCCGAAAAGAAAATGAATGAATATTAATAATAATAATAAAAATAATACAATTATTTTCTACTATACAAATTGAATATATAGTCTAATCATTTTAGGAAGCACATCTGATGAGAAAAGTTGAACGTTCTTGGTTATTGTTTGCAATTTACCAGATTGTATGGGGTGATGAGAAAACCAAAAATAATCATGACTGGGCAGTTGTTTAGACAAGCTTTGTACCTGAAGGCACAAAATCGCATGACTGCCAAGAACAATGAAAGGAAGAAGAAATATTCCTCTAATGTTTGTAGACTTAAGCTCAGTGTCTCCTGCCCAGATCCTTTTCCAGGTGGATATTTAGAGACCATCCTGCAGCATTACTGAACTTACTACAGTACATTAATTCTGTATGAAAAGTTTGTTTGATGGTGGTTCTTTTGTGCTTGGTAGCAGAACAATATAATGTATAGAATAGAATATTGGCATCCTGACTCACTTTTTGACCGACTAATGTTTTCTTTGCACAAATTGAATTAGAAAAAAATCTCATTTAATTATTATATGCCACTAAATGCTAGATGCTGTGCGTTCATGCAAAAAGTTCTTCATCACATTTTTTTTTAAATTCAGATCAAAAGCCTCATCCTTTTTATGTTTAATGCACCTAAATAATATAGATAATGTTCAGGTATGTGCAGAAAATGAGCTTAAACTGGGAAATACCTAAAAGGTGCAGTAAGTGATTGTCTTTAGAAACATTTTTATTGTGCTGCTTGAAAGTCTCTTCACATTAAAGTAGTAATGATTAAAGTAAATTATTTGAATGTATTTATATGTGTTTTTTATATTCTGGGCAAGGCATAAGAATAAAAAATCTAATTTTTTATCCATCCATCCAATTAAAATTTATTGGTCCGACAATTCCCATAATTCTGATAAGTAGCAAACTGTTTGTTGACAAATGTAGATTTGTATACCTGCTCAGCTTTGTTTACGCAGATCTGCTGTTTGCATGTGCATGCACGCCCTGGTCACATGGACACAAGTGACACCAAAAAAACAAATGCTGAATCAAAACTTTTTTAAATCCTGAATCAATATTGGAGTTACTTTTGCACGCTGGAGGAAGGATGACACCATGGCTGAAGTATTTCTTTTAGACAGGTAATGTTATGTTTTAAAACTATTTTAGTTACACAAACAAAGTCCCTTTAAGGCAAGTCATTTCACTCAGCAGCCATCTTTGAAACCCCTCTTGGCCAGTATGCTCCAGCATTCTGTCTGAATGGGGAAACATCAGATTCTCCAAAACTGCTTATCAAGCTTATGATTAAATTTCATATTAGGAGTCACCAATAAAATTAAACAACAACTGTCTATTTAGTTTCAATTCTAAACGTCCAAAATCTGCAGAAACTCACCTCTGGTCCAAACCCCTCCCCCAGATTATTATCAGTCTATAGCGATCGATAATTGGGTCCTGTACTAGAAGGCGGGCTGTTTTGACCAAATAGCGACTGATGATTGGCTCCATTACTAGTAGGCGGGGCTTTATTCACCATATTGACAGTTACACTTTTCACCATTCAAAAAGATGTGAATGACACGTCTTGTGCATTCTACACGTCTTTGATGCAAAGCTAATATAGATTGTGTTTTTTACGAATAGGTTATATGCACGGAAGTGTTGTTCAGCCACTGAAGTCCTCCAGCGAAAGATTGATGTGACTATTCGCAGTTTCTTAAGAGACCTTTTACATTTTTATTTAGTTTAACAACAAAACATCAGTTTATAGCGCTATTCCGCCTAGCCTGCTTTACTAAGGTGAAGTTGCTTTTATATTCACATTGGCTTATTTTTTAACAATGACAACCTGTGACGTCCTCCCTATATTGTTTACCGTGCTACTCTGAATATTCTCTCTGAAATAACATGTAAGTATGGCCTAGTAATAAGTGTAGAGCGTGTGAGAGAGTGAGATGCATGCATGAAATATTGCACATTATGACAAGTTTTGCTTGCTAAACAACTGAAAGCATGCTAGATATAATACAGTTTTTTGTTCTGAATTGTTGTATTTTAAAGTACTATAAAGTTTTTTAACTATCAAATGACGTGATCTAGTGGGTCTCTTTCATTTTTTAATGTGCACCTTCGTGATTTCAGGAGGCGTAGCTTTAGACGGCAGTTGTGGGACTGTGTTTTCAATGATATTATGCTAACACATAGCATTTTGGCAGATCACCTACTGCACCTCTAATCAATAGTGTGACAACCAAACTACAGTGTTCTCTGCACACAAAAAATATTTAAACCACTAAAACAGCTGGGTTCCACACAATCGATTAGTGTTGGGGCTACATGATGGAATTAAGTTAAATCATTTCTTTTTTTTTTTAATTTAAGTTGCCTAAACATAAAACAATTAAGTTG